TTTTTTTTTGAAAAATGAAAATTGTAAAATTTTTAAGTTAATAAAATTAATATTTGAATTAAAAAATTTAAAAACGGTTTGGTTCGATTTTGTACGATTTTTGAAAATCAAAACCTAAACCAAACCATTTTGAAACGGTTTGGTTCGATTTGAGGGAATAAAAACCACGAGTCCATGTGGACCCGAACCAACGGTTTCAATTCAACGGTTTCGGTTCGATTTGTGGTTTCGTGATTTTTTTTTGTGCAGCCCTAGTTTACAGAGTCTCTAGAAGAATTATAACTTTTCATTTCGGTAAATTTTCAAAATTTTCAATAGATCTTAAATGAAAATATTAAGGTAAGTTTTGTCTAGCCTTACCATAAAAATGTCCAAATTTTTATAGGTTACTATATGTAGAAACCTTGTTTTCAAGATTTGTCAATTTGGTTCTTGCATAAAAATTACCCAAAACAGATCATTTTTCAATTTACTATGGATTTTCAAATATAGTCAGTCAACTACCTTAAACATGAACTTGTAATTTGAAGCATAAGAACATGTCATTAGGGTATTATTTTAAAAAATCGGAATTTTTTTAAAAACTTGTAGTGTTTTTTTTTTTTTAACGAGAAATATAAGTTTTATTGATCTATGTACATGTTCACAAATACTCTAGGCATACCTGGGCAGTCATGATCAAACTATGCATAAATAATATTGATCTAAAGACCCCGATGCTAATGACTTGAATTGAATCAAAATGTGAGGATATAATGAAAATATTACCTTGTAAACATGTGTTTGATCCGTGCTCTCGGATTGCATTTTAAGATCTTTAAAAAGTAGCTTATTACGGGCTGTCCACATTTGGTTAATAGTGTGTGCTAATGCAACTCTCTTTGCCTTGCTTTGCTAAGTAGTCCCTCGTCCCTCCTTCTTCGTCCATTTCAAGGCACTAGCAGTTGTAGTCATGGTTCTTTTGACACCCAACCCAGCTCTAATTTTTCCCCAAATCTCTGAACTTATGACACATTGAAAGAACAAGTGTTGGCAGATTTAGCTGTAGTTCAAACGCATATGTATCGTTAATGTTCATATATTGCAGGGGGTATTTAGCCAGAAGTTCGTGTTTTTGCACTAAGTCAAAGGATGAAAGAATGCATGAGGGTGACACATGAGTTCCAAACATCCTTTTCCCAGCTCACAGTAGCCCTTGTGGACAGAAATAATCATAAGCCATGGTAATGCTTATGTTATCTCCTCGAACCCAATTTGAGATTTTTAGGGTGGCTGCCTATGATGTTCCCTCAGATTGCTTCAACAAATCTGCAATAGAAATCAGTTTCTTGAACAATGGTGAATCATCCGTTTTAGATAAGCATTCCTGTATGGCTGTCTTTCTCAAAAACTCATAGCTTTATTTTGAGTGAATTGCCTAAATGATCACTGAACTTTACAAAAGGTTTTCAAGGGGTTATTGAACTTTACAAAAGGTTTTCCAGAAGTCACCGAACTTTCCAACCCCTGAACCACCTTAGAGCCACAATTTATGGACCACCAAAATCCATCCTCCGGCCACCAGACCGACATACCACCTTGAAGCCCTTGTTTCCCTCTTCGCAACCAATTCATAACACCAACCGATGTGGCCAAAAATTCAAGCCAAAATGGGCTGGAACAACAAAAAAATGAAGATTTCGACCATTTTTCGTGCTTGGTCAACCCATTTTGGCTTGAATTTTCGACAAAATCGATTGGTGTTATGATCGAAACTTGAGTGTGTTGTGAAGAGGGAAACGAGGGCTTTAAGGTGATATGATGGTCCGGGGGCCAAGGTGGCCCTCCAAAACTGGTGACTCGTTCACTTTCGGCCATTTTTGTGCTTAGTTAGCCCATTTTGGCTTGAATTTTCGGCCAAATCGGTTGGCATCATTACCGAAACTTGGGTGGGTTGCGAAGAGTGAAGCAAGGACTTCAAGGTGGTATGTCGGTCCGACGGCCAAAGTGGCCGGAGGGTGGATTTTGGTAATCCATAACTGGTGGTTATAAGGTGGTTTAGGGGTTGGAAAGTTCAATAACTTCTGAGAAATTTTTTGCAAAGTTCAGTGATTATTTAGGTGATTTTTAAGGTTCAGTAACTTCTGAAAAGTTTTTTGCAAAGCTCATTAACCATTTAGGTGATTTATAAAGTTCAGTGATCCCTTGGAAACTTTTTGCAAAGTTCAGTGACTAATTGGGCAATTCACTCCTTTATTTTAGCATAGATGAGTTTCTAATTGGACAATGTGCATTCTAAATATTTTCGAAAATTTACGATGTTTCGTATACTTATTTGTTGGAATACAGTAAATGAAACAAGCCGAAAATAGTGAATTGCAATAGAAATTCTCCAATTTGGGTCGGAGACGAACCACAATTACAATTAATTCCAATTCAATGCCTATTCTACTGTCCAAGGACATATTTATAGCTTAGACTCCTAAACAAACTCCCTAATTTCAAGCCATATTCTACTTCACTTGGACCTGAAGACAAGGAACAGATAAGATATCCCCAGTTACTTCCAGCAGCTTTTGGATTGGCCGGCCCTCTTGTTTCTGTGGCTAACATAGCCAAATATTGGGCTTCCTTATTCTTCGAGGCCCACCATTATTTCTTAAGATGTAAATGTATTACTATTTCATGTTATTTCAATGTCAATTTAGGGTTCCGTAAACATAGAATGTCTAACTTTTCCGCTTTAATTTGTTTTCATGTGGCACTTATATAATTATCAAAGACTTTTCACTCGTTAATCTCGTCCATTGAATATAACTCAGTAAATGATGGTATGACAATAAAGTCCACAAACACATCGAGATTTGTTATTGAAATAATCTTGATAATAGATCATTACCGAGTCTTTGTGGGTTTGGAATTTTAAGTGTATAAGTTTTAGTATCTGTTTAGTGGGGATTAAAATCAAATTTTTAGTAAATTTTGATGAAAGTTGATAAAATGCTTGGTTAAAAAGTTGTAGATCGTATACAATGTATGATTAAAATTAGTTGTTGACTTTAACTTAGATTAAGGCCATGTTTGACTCACATTTTTTCTTCAAAAAATATATTTTTAAACAGTGATTTGATATCATTTTAACCACACATTCTTCAATAAAATAATATTATTTGCAAATTTAAAAATTGTCCTTATTTTTTTAATCACATATTTGCCTTCAATACACTATTAAAAATGCATTTTTATTAAAATAATGTGGCTCAAACAAGGGCTAAAATCTGAATTTTAAATTGTACCAAACAAAAACTTAAGGCCTGTTTGATAGACTTCTTTTTCCATGGAAAATATTTTCCATCAAACTTGTATGTTTGATGGCCAAAATTTTTCATGGAATTGATTTGCAATTAACCCCCCATGTAACCACATTTTCTTGATTTTTAAGGAATTAATTTTCCTTTGGTTTTGGTGGGGAATTGGGTTTTCTAGCTTCCTTTTTTAAAAATAAATAAATAAATAATTGATAATGAAAACAAATTTTATCCAAAATTGTAACAAATTCTATCTATTTAATTAACAATTTTCATGAAAAACTAAGTCAAATGAATATCAAAAGATCCAAATTTCAACATTTTTCAAGTGAGAAATTATATTAATCAAACATATTTAATTAACAATTTTCAGTAAAATAAGTTATAGGCAATTCAATTCCTTGAAATTCGTTTTCTTTTTGTCCAAATTTCATTCTTGCAATCAAATGAACCCTTAGTGATTGTAATACAGTGAAATTTCTAGGTGGATTTGCAATAACTAGCATTTTTAAGGTGTTTTTAGCCATTACAAAGCATTGTTAAACTAAGGCCTCATTTGGCTTGCAAAGACGCTATCGTTTATCCTACCAAAATACTGACAAGATTAACCATTACCTTTCTTTTGATAAAGGTGAACTAATGGAAAAAAAAAATAATAATAATAAAAAAAAACATAAAAAAAAAAAAAAGGATGGCATCATTGAATATCACCGTTGTATATAACCCCTTAGTGATCATTCTTTAAAAATAAAAAAAAAATAAAAAAAAAAGAGAGAGAGAGAGAAAAAAAAAGAAAAGAGTTTTGAATAGTATTTTAGGAGAATGTTTGGTTAAAAATTAGGAAAATTTATGAATTTACGAGCAAAATATTTTATTGTATGAACGTATAGTTGAAAACGATCTTGTAAAAAAAAAAAAAATTAAAAAATAATGAGAATAAAAAATGGGCAAAATAATCATCTAACTAATCATTATTTCAAAAACTAAGCCCTTATTTAGTTCTCACTATTTTCAAAATACATTTTGTTTTCTTTTTATTTTCACCATACATTATTCAATAAAATAATATTTTAAGCAAATCAAAAAAAATTTCTTACTTTTTAATCACACATTCTTTATCGAAATACTATTCCAAAATACATTATTTCAAAAAAAGGGACTCAAACATGCTATAAATCTTCAACAATTAAAGAGTACCAAATTCTTCAATTGATCTTCAGTCCTATCTATACAGCTAAGACAACAGCTAAAAATCAAAGTTGTCAGTGAATATTACGATCATATATGGTGTACATCAAATTTGACAGTTTGTCAAGCGGCGGCAAATTGTCATTCATCAATGAAAAGAGAAAGGGTTTTTTCTTCCATAATTTTTTGAAAGTCAATATCAACAATGATGTTAATGGAAGAATGTACAAATGACAAGATACTAAATATTAAGCAAGGTAATATAGTCGTCTTAAGTGTAAGACCCTCAATATATGGAACACCTCCAAAATTTAAAATTTACTTATTTTTTAATGTAAAATTATGTTGGCAAGTGATATCAATAAAAAATAAATTTAAATAAAGAGTAAAGACTGATTGTAATTAGCAATATTAAAAATATAATATTTTAGCAAAATTAATTTATCAACTAAAATTTCGTCAATATATAAATTAAACAAAAATATAAAGATTAAATACTAATAAAAAATTTGTTGAGAAACTTGAAGATCATACCTCTCATAACACTTGTGGATAATACTCGAGTCCGGGTATCAACTTCTTTATTTACTCGCTCTATGATATTTTAATATTTATTTTGTTTTTCAAAACTTGATTATTTCTCTGTATGCTTTCCCCTGACTTATTTTAGTGTGGAAATTTAAGATTTAATGGATACAGTGCGTTTCTCCAAACTTGGTGGTTCTCGTGACTTACCTAATTCATTTGCTATTTTACTGTTTGAACCTTACCTTCCTGCTGTCATGTTGGATTTAGTTTTCGTGGTAATTTATTATTTGCGGACACTTTACCAAACTTGTTTAGCTCCATAGCTGAAACGTGGAAAGAAGATTTACTTGCAGTTAAGTTGTCAGTTTGAGGACAAAGATTTTATCTTGCCTGATGTTTGTTGTGATACATTCTGGGTACCTAATATTTGGAAATCTTAAGGTGCACTCAAACTGTCTAGTACGCTATAGCATCAACAATGCATCTTGATTTAAGAAGAAATTCTCAGCTGACTATTTTTAGAAGTAATTGAGTGGAGAAACATTCATCTATAAGGAAATTTGTATCCTGCTCTGGAGTCTGTGTCGATTGATGCGTTGCTGTGAAAACCCCTACTGCTGAGTCCTGCTTGCCTCTGACTTATTAACTACAAAAATATGTCGAAAAAAATTGAATATGCATTTTGATACGGGTGTAAAGGTACACAGTCAAGTATAGAAAGCATGAAAGTGGATATTACAGACTTTGGCCATATATGTCCCTCTATTCTCTTTGTGTATTTTCTCGAGTTACTGACATGAATCAAGTGTGAATGAATCTGGCCCGAGTGTAATCTCCAATTCAGTTACAAAACTAACTAAAAGGAAAATACATTTCTGTAAGAAAGTTCTTTCACCTGCTTGTAAGATTACTGCCGAAATGGGTCTTACGGGGTTAGAGCAGCCCTGTCTTCATATGGACTGGCAGTCCTGACATATCGTTGTACCCTTTTTTCCATGATTGTGCCTTGTTCATGTACTAAAATCTATATCTGCATATCCTGAGAATCTGGTTAAAAAAACTAGGGGATCCATATAGTCGAGGAAAAAGCAATGGCCATGAAATTATGTTCATTTTGGTGAATTTATGATTAACCACACGCAATGCTGTGACAACTATGTCGAATGGATATCTTCGCAATAGCTAAATCTGAGTTCAGTAGTGCTATACCCTAGAACTGAATTTTCTCCTCTCTTTAAACCTCTACCTGGACAAGGACAGTTTTTATTATATCTTGATTTCATTCCTACCTTGCATGAGAGCTCGACGGAATAAGGAATAGCACCGCGATGCAGTCTATCGACAGCTTTATGTTTCCCTGTGTAAACTGCTTGTTGTCCTGTCTTGCACGATGTTATGCACAATGCCAAATAATGGAACCTATTTTTGATGCAGCACCAATAGGATGATTAATAGAAATAGAAGAAAGATTCAGAAAAAATGGAGAATTAAGAAAGGAGATAGAAGAAGAATTCAATAGAAGAAGGGGAAGGATGCGCCATAAGCCACCAAAATAATTATTCATTCATCATCAACTGTCTCAAATGAGACAAAATAGAAATAAATAGCAGAACACAAACTCTAAAGAGAAGGGCTTGGGCCAAACCCACTAAACAAGCCCAATAACGAAAACATAAACAATAGTTCAAATAAAATATAACTAATAGTCCAAATAGAAAATAAATAATAAATGGATGTCCGCATCAACTCTCCCGGGGTGGGAGAAAAACTCGACCCCGTCGAGTAGATAAAGCAGAATGTTGCACTGAATCTGATGCGAAAGGCTCCAAGTCATGCCATGGGGGACGATCTTTCTTGATGACCAAATACCGAAACTCCACAAATGATAACAAGGATAGTTGTAGCTTATCCTCAAGGATATGATCCAACCAAGGAGGACGATCTTTCTTTGTAATCACATACCGATATTGAACTCCCAATAGTAAAAATTCATGCCACTCATCTCCAAAATCTTCCTCATTGGTCAACACAACTTGTTTATCTAAAATAGCATCAATTACATCTTTGTGTGCTGTGATATGTGTTATTAGAGTGAAAATGGTAATATATTTAGGTTGGGGATCCACATAAGGAAGTAGAAAAGGATCATCAAGGAAATTAAAAAGGCCCTTGTAAGTAACTAAGTCTTCAATATATAAAGTAGAGTGGTGGCCAAAATGTGATGAAAAATTAATGACATGTGCGTATGGACCAACATGCTTTAAAACTTTAAAAGGACCAGCACTACCGGCTTGCAATATAACATAATCCCCAATATGAAATTGAAAATATTGTTTATGCAAATCAGTTTGAAGTTTATATAATGCATTATTTGCGTGACGTTGTTTATTGATTTTAGTATGCAAGTCATGAAGATGATGCACAAATACTTCAACTGATATCGACACACTAGCATGTGGGGACATGGAAATAAGGTCTAACGGCCGCCTAGACTTATAACTATGAACAGCTTCAAATGGATTCAAACCTAGAGACCAATTTACAGAATTGTTATACGCAATTTGAACAGTTTGGGGAATCAAGTCCCAATTTCTAAGATTTTTCTGGACTAGAGATTTGAATAAATTGCCAGGACTTTGGTTAACGACTTCATTTTGACCATCAGTTTGAAGTTGGTCAGTAGTGGAGAATGTTGATTTAATGCTAACCACAGGCGACTGGATTCTCCAAGGGTGGCCAGTGAAATCATCAAGCTCTTTAAGTTGTGCAAGGGTATGACATATAACATGTGACCGAGAGTTGTCAGAGATAAGGGGTATAGTATCCAAAGTCTCGAAAAGAGTCTGAATTCCACCTAAGGAAGTGTCTTCACTATCATCCAAGTCATCAAAATCTTCAAGTTTAGGTTCATAGACTAGATCTTCTAATGGCATATCTATTACATTCTTTCGTTCTTCCATGACTAAGGTTCGATTAGTACATTTGGAAGAAATGTG